GGCATTCAGTACGACACTAAAAACGTAAAACTTATTTTGGTACTGTAGTCTGTTCCTAGTGTTTGTTTCCAGAAAAGAACTTCGAGATATTGTACGAGTAACATGATAATTGTGTTACTTGCCAGAAAAAAAAACATGAAAATTACGTCATACTCAACATCAGAGAAAGAGAGAGAGAGGGGGGGAGGCAGGTATTGCCATTTTTTTTATTTGAAGGGCGAATAACTTGTATTCAAGAACACCTTTGATTGATATTCCTTGTCATTTTGAAAATATGAGAGGTTAGCATTCTTTTAGAACTTCATTTGTTAAAAGAATTTACAGAATCACATATATATAGCACAATATAACTACCAGTTGTCGTTCGTAGATGGGCCGAATAGCAGTTGAACATATCTCACATCAGCAAACATAATAGAACGGGCCCAAAAAAAAAAAGCATAACAGAAATCAACGCTTAAACTTATTAGAACACCCATCATTTCAGTCAGACACGAACAGGCAAACAAAGCCCAAAACTAGGTCTGTTAAACAATCTGAGTAACACAAACTTGGCTTGAACCCAATTCAGTTGTTCTTGCTGAAAATTTCAAATAAGTTGTTCCCCTTGTATTTCTTGATATTGTGATCATTTTTTATGAAATATAGAGGTGTATTTTGAGTGAAATTAGTGTGATAGTGAAACAGATTTTTGTCCTCTATTTTTGTGTTTTTTGGTGATCTATTTTGTTTCCAATACCCAACAGTGTCTCAAGTCCATGACTTGAGGGACTGACACATTAGTTGCTTATATGTGTCGTTTTCAATCTATTTGTGACTACCTTGCTGCTATCGAAAAACCAGTTTTCAATCACAAAAAGTCATGGTGGTTGCTTAATGGCTTGCTAAAGATTATGAAATTTTTACCATCTTGATGCTTCATCCTCCAGTTCTAGAAATAAACAACTTGTTCACCACTACAATCCACCTCGATCATCCTTCGGTCCAAAACAGTCCTAAGGAAGACGCACCAATCTGTCAAATTTGCAACGAACGCAATCATAACACTCTCAAGTGCTTCAACATATTCAACCACTCGTATTCTTTTGATAGTACTCCTCAAGCACTTGCTACTATTACGGTTACCGATTCCCAAGATTTTGCCCTGTTCCTCGAGACCAAAGTAACTGATCATATTATGGGTAACCTAGGTAATCTCACTTTTATTTATTCTTATCATGGCCCTGAGGGTGTTATGGTTGGGAATGGCCACACCTTGCCTATTACCCACATTGGTCAAGCATCTATTGGTACTGGTCCTTCCTCAATCAAACTGAATATTGTTTGCTGGTACCTGACATAAAGAAGGATTTGTTATTCGTTGGTGAACATAGTTCTGATTTTCCTCTATCTTTTACATTTGATGGTGTTGGAATATATGTAGCTGATAATTAAGTCATAGTTGGACGGTAGGGGTGGAGTCAAAAATTTTGCTTAATTATGCACCCTAATTTTGTTCTTTCTAACCAATCACACTATATAATATATTTATATTTATTATATCACATTTGATGCATGAATTCCAATTAACATAAAAAATACCAATAAATAATGCATATTGTATATGTACAAAAAATGACTAATTATCACCATCGTAACAAATTGAGCTAATTGTTATTTTGTATAAAAAAAAATATCAGTTTTTCACTAACAATCTATTAAATTTATTCAATAAATAATGTTCTAAACACACTGATATATTAACATAGTAAAATTATTAAACTAAAATTTAAGAGCTAAACATAGTAAAAAAATTTAAAATCAATTGACACGTAGCAAAGACTATAATTAATACTTAAATTAAAATAGTGGCAATTTCTCGTAAAAAAAAAAAGTTAAATGAAGGTTAATTGCAGGAACTTTCACTTGTAAAAATTCATAAATAATAAAATTAAGATCATCTCGAGAAAGCCTTAATAAAATAAAAAATTTGTGTCATTGTTCTATTTTCCTTTACAATACTGCTCAACATTATCTATATGACTACAAGTATTACAGAAAAATCTAAAAATTCATACCATATCCATAAAAAAGTGAGAAGATATAATATATCATGATCAATTGACTACTCAATCAATTAAGAAAATTAGTTCGATGTCATATTTCAACAATTTGAAATCTATCCCAAGTTTTGGGGATCAATCTTAACTCAATTGTATTGAGTCGCAACTTAACATGATTAAGTTTTAAGTTTTTGTACAACACTCAGATTTCAACAATATGAACCTAAAGTTTTTTTTTTTGTTTTATATGGGCTTGGTTTTTTAATTTTTTTGGGGTGGAGTTGGTGGGCCTAGTATTTTTGTCGTTAGTTTCACATGGACACAAGTGATATATTATATATATATATAGGTAATAAAAAAAATTGAGGGGGGGCACTTCCCACCCTAAACCATACATGGCTCTCCCTATGATTGGTGGTTAAATCCGAAATATATAAAATTTTAATTCGTTGGCTAAATATTGTATTATTCATGTCATATATCATAGATGTATTTTTTTATAAAATTATTATGAATTAAATATTATTTATAACGGTACATAAATACATATATATTACATTGATTGGATGTTTGAGTTAGATTTTTTCTAGTCAGCATGAGTGACTTAGATAAAGGGACTCATCAAGTAGTGAAAGACTAGTCAAGACAATTAATCATACTTGGAGTGTTTTTAGCATTCTTTGACTATAGGGAGTTGACGAAATATTGGTAGAGTTAAGGAAATACTTGTGGATATGGAGACTAATAAGGTGAGTGGTAATGAGTAGTTGATACATCCTCCACTATAAATAAGACTTTCTTTATACAAAGAGTACCACCAGTGATAAACATCAAGTTTAGACGAAACCCATTACAGGGGAAATCTTAACTCTATTGCATTCATATTAAAGAGAGTTTTTACCTCTCAAAGGCTAGTTCCCAATTTATCAAATTATTAAATCCTATTTTGCAAATTCCTACAGATGGTATTGGTTTTTTAATAAAAGACTTGATCACCAACCTGGTGGTGGTGAAGGGGAGTAAACACGGTGGACTTTATGCTCTTGATGGTGTTCAATAGCTCTCTTCTCCAATCGCCTTCGAAAAGTTGATATTGGCACCATCAGCTTGGACATCCCCCTCAAACAATCATTGATCATTTGCAGTCTAGAAAGTGTATTGCTTTTTTTTCCATGAATAAAATTCCCCAAGTTTGTAATAGTTGTCTGTTGAGTGCTCAATATTACATTATTTTATTCCCCAANAAAAGGCAGGTAAGGGAATTGGAAAGATTGTTCACAATGAATCATATTAGCAAATTAAACCATTGATTTTAAATTACTTACATAAATTGTTATTTTTGTTGAAGATTCTTTTTTCTTTTTTCTGTTTTCTTTTTCATTTATTGAAAAAGCACTGCACTTCGTTATGGTGAAAATTCGACAACTTGTGTGAAAAATAGGAAGTAACTCTAATGGAGATCAACATATAGAGCCTCTAACATCTTAGCTGGACCAATATTATTTAAAATAATCCAAAGCCTAACCCATAGCAGGTGCCACTTCACCTATTTTAGCTACAAACAGGGACCATTCTCAAGTGTTCGAGTTTTCGTTTGGGTAATGTTAAAAAAAGAGAGATCAAATGATGCAGTACTGATGTGGTTGTTTTCTATTCATTTAAATATAATTTTGTTTACTATGTTAACGCTATATCTTTTGATTTTTATTTTCAATCTAATGTTTTTTTATTGGTCTAACATTACCCTTTTGGATCTGGGGTGGGGGATACAAAATGTATAGGGGTGAGCCAATGTAGAGACCCAGGGGCATGGCCTCCTGAGTTCTCCAAATTAGGAGTGTCCTATCCTAGCCAAGCGTCTCGATTAACACCCCTACCCCAAATTACCTTTTGACCACTTAAGTTTAGCAAAACAAATTATGGCATGGCCTCTCCAAAAATATTGCTATTCTAATATGGCCCCATCAATTCTTTGTAATATCTATTATGCCATTTAAATTGCCATCTCCTCAAACCACCAAGATCGAAATATATATAGTTATAACTTGTGCAAAATATGAATTAAGGGGGCATAAAGAAAAAAGAAGATACCTTGGCTGTTGAAGAGCTCTGCAAGTAAAGGGAAAAACAACCAACGATTGCCACCAATTGTTTTAATTTTGCATAATATTTTAGAAATTCTCTAGAATTGGCCAGCTTTTAAGCANATATGAATTAAGAGGGCATAAAGAAAAAAGAAGATACCTTTGCTGTTGAAGAGATCTGCAAGTAAAGGGAAAAACAACCAACGACTGCCACCAATTGTTTTAATTTTGCATAATATTTTAGAAATTCTCTAGAATTGGCCAGCTTTTAAGTAAATACGTTCAGAATTCTTTTTCAAAACAATCATCTTATAAATCAACTTCAAGCAACTAATAGATCAATATGCAATTTGTAAAAACATTCACGAGGGTATTGTAATTATCGAGAATGATGGTCCTTGTATCCAAAAAAGCTCCGAATGAAATTTTCAGATGTTTTATTTTTTTTTTCATTCAATGATCACGGGTGTCCGAGCTATTTTATACTCACCTCAACTAATCTCCTATCTAGTCCGATCAAAAGTAGACTTTTTATACAAAAATTAAGATATTCATGACAGATTTCATAATTTAGTCCCAAAAGATCGTCGAGATTCAAATATAAGNCATTCAATGATCACGGGTGTCCGAGCTATTTTATACTCACCTCAACTAATCTCCTATCTAGTCCGATCAAAAGTATATTTTTTATACAAAAATTAAGATATTCATGACAGATTTCATAATTTAGTCCCAAAAGATCGTCGAGATTCAAATATAAGATATCTGAGTTACAACTTGTCTCCGTTACTACTTAATCTACCATTGAAGTGAAATTTTTTAGATGTTTGTGGCCGGAGGTAAGCCCCCCTCCTTCCTTTTATTTGAAGTAAGACTAAACTTTAACTGCGCATTTGAAGTAGGTAGGGACCATATTAGTACCATTAGCTAGGGGTTTCTAACTGACCTACTTTCCTAGATCATTTTATTTTCTTCTTATTTTTTCTGCTTTTTTTTTTTTTGGAATAAATAAATATATTTTCTCTGATTCAGATATACAAAATAAATTAATTGATCTCAATGGCACTGAATATTGCACAGATTAGTTTACGGTCGAACAAAAGTTGAGGCATAAACTCCATATTCTTAGTTTGAATCTTATTTTTCATATAACGCACAAGTTTAATTGGTCGATGTGATTTGTAGATGATTCTATATATACATCAAGATTTCGATGCAACCGGGACTTCACATAGTACATATTGGTATANGATGATTCTATATATACATCAAGATTTCGATGCAACCGGGACTTCACATAGTACATATTGGTATAGTTATACATTACCAAAAAAGTTAATGAAACAAGTCAATCTAATAATATAACCAAAGGATAAGGCTATGATACCACTGAGGTGACCATTGATTATATAATACAATAAGAGAACTGTACACTTGACATGTTTTTACTGGGACAAAAAGATTAGTAATGGGCTTGAAAAGTAAATTTTTTATAATGGTTTTGCAATAACCAAAGATTAGCTGTTTAATTTTTGATATGGTGCTGGTTTTGTTTTT